TCGCAGAGGTACGACCAACGGGAGTCGCTCGAAGCGGTACGACCAACGGGAGTCGCTCGAAGAGGTACGACCAACGGGAGTCGCTCGAAGAGGGGAGAGGAGGACAAACCCAATGAATGATCGAACAGCTAAGTGGTGCTCTTTCTTAGTTACAACATTTGTTTGGTGAGAATGCCCCGACCGGCAGCTGCTAGGTTTCCCGATCTTCCCCCGGTCTTCGGCCCGAGCTGTATGAGGCAAAAACTCGTCCCACGTACGGTTCGGAGGCCGAGCCCCACCCCAGCAGTAAGGGTGCGGCTTAGGTCAACTAACACAAAAAAGATACAGTTCACTCAACGATTGCCTTTGGGTTCCGAACTCCATATAGGGAAGGAGCGTTGTTGTTTGCGAGGTCTCGATCATTTACATGGACCCACTTTTCATTCCATTTGTGGGAATTTGATGATCTATAAACCGTCCCTCTGTCGAGCGACTTCGTACCTCTGCGCGAGCTATAGATTCGTTGAACATAGTTCAACTCATTCAGAGACTACGTACCTAACGAACGATCGGCTCTTGTTTGAGCATGATGAATCACTTCGTGCCGACCTCTTGCCAATCCACTTTCCGGCCTCATATGAGAATGGAAAACTGGAGCATTTTTTCTCTCTCATAAGTCTAAAAAGTATTCAGAATCGCGAAAAAAATAATTTATGTTTGACCATGTTCCCAGAAAAAAGATACTTTCGAGAAAGGACGAGCACGACTGAAGTGGCTATACATACAAATCTATTTACGGATCTATATGCTTCGATTGGAACTGGAAGTAGAAGAAAAGGCGGCTGGTATACCACAATAATGAAAAAGCCTTTTATTTTTTATATTCGGAAGGGATTTATGTTGGCTTCGTTGGGAGGCTCGCGTAGTTTGTTACGTAAGCTCCAAAAGGGTAAGTTGCGTTGGAATTGAGAAAGTTTCGGGGCGAACGGTTGAACGAACGAAGTTGCTAGAGTGTAACGATTCGTTTCAAACGTTTCACTATGTTACACGCTTGGTACCTTATGGTCGAATGAGTTTTCTAACTACGTTCAACGAAATGAGTGTAACATAGTGAAACGAATCTCTGTTCTCTGTTCTCTAGATGAGTTGAACTATGTTCAACGAATCTCTCATTCCTGAGGCTTCCGTGAAAGGTTTTGATTCGAGGCTTTTTCCTAGCCTGACTGGAAGGCAATGAGAAAGCGTCCGTTCACGTCAGGAGGCTTTGACTTTCATCGAGATTGGCCTGGTGTGAAGTGTACCGGCCCAATAGAAAGGAACGAGGGGAAGAATCGATAAGACAATAGAAGGGGAAGACCAATGTATACATTTCAATTGGGGGCTCGCCCCCATGGCTTTTGTATTGGGGCTTTGTCCACTATTCGTTCCCCAGTGAATGAAAAAGCGTGAGGAGAATTCTAAACTCGAGATGTTAGAAGGTGCGAAATCAATGGGTGCCGGAGCTGCTACAATTGCTTCAGCGGGAGCTGCTGTCGGTATTGGAAACGTCCTTAGTTCCTCGATTCATTCTGTGGCGCGAAATCCATCATTGGCTAAACAATTATTTGGTTATGCCATTTTGGGCTTTGCTCTAACCGAAGCTATTGCATTGTTTGCCCTAATGATGGCCTTTTTGATCTCATTCGTATTCCGATCGAAAATGAAAAGGAGGCTAGTCCCCGAAAATGCCCGTTCTCAAAGTTGGGGTTCATAATCTGACTTCGTAACAAGGTGGCCGTAGGGGCTTATAGTTTAATTGGTTGAAACGTACCGCTCATAACGGTGATATTGTAGGTTCGAGCCCTACTAAGCCTACCTTTTCACCTTATGTTCAACTCATTCGAAAGAGGATAAACCATAGTATAGGTACGTAGTGACTCGAAGATTCGTTTCAAATGAGTTGCTAGAGAACAGAGATTCGTTTCACATAGTGAAACTCATTTCGTTGAACTATGTTCAACTCATTCAGAGGATTCACTCTTTATAAAAGACTCCAACACGGAATAATCAGACGAGTTAAATTCCACGCTGGAAGCATCCCAACTTGACGGTTCAGACCTGTTCCCTGCTCTACTTCTGCAAAAGATCCTGCGGAAAACCACTAAGCTTTCTCTTCTCCAAGTTGCTCCTATATATGGCTTAGTCTGCTGCTTCAAGCTCGGATATTTATAAGTCCGTTAAGGGACCAGGATTTGCTGGTTCGAGTTGGTCCAGTTAGTCCTGAAAAAACGGATGCAAATGCTTTTGGATGGTCAGTTTAGGCGTCTCCGAAAGGATCAAGGTTTTGGAAGAAATAAACAAGTCAAGAGGTACGTAGTGAACGTAGTCGCTATAGGTACGAAGTCACTAGAGAACAGAGATTCGTTTCACTATGTTACCTATGTTTCGTTGAACATAGTTCAACACTATGTGAAACAACGAACAACGAAT